TCATTTATGGCCCCTTTACTGTCTGGCAGTGTCTACGCCAAATGTCATATACATAGCTCATTTAACCCCTGTGCCAACTCTACAAGGTAAAGATCATACAACACAGATATGCCAGGAAACATAATGCCTGACATATTGCAGTTAATACGTGCCCAACCTGGTGTTCCAACCCAAATCTAACATCAGAACCGATATTCTTCTCGCTCCACTACATACCCCCCAGGCCTAGCACTGGCATAAACCAAGTTCAAAGCTGCAACCTGGCTTCTAGCCCCTCCTCCGCCTTGCTTCCCCGCACAGTGCAGGACCGGTTTCAGTGGCTCTGAATGGCGTAGGAGCAGATTCTTGGGTGGGCATGAGTGCGGTCTGCTTCCATGGGGTGCCCTTGTGTGACCTTGGTCTTCAAGCTGGACCCAAGGCAAGGGGCAGCCAGGAAACTTCCACTGCGGCACATACTCCTCCCAGCCCTATCAGGGCCTCCTGAAGTCACATGAGAGAGGACAAGACATCTCATCTCTTCTACCAATAACTAGCTCTGGCAGAAGAACAGATAGACCTTTCTCAGTTTTTATTCTGGGGCCAAAAGCCCTTATAGGCAAAGGAATCTCCTTCCCACCCTCAAAATGCTTCTGATGACCTTAGGCTTTCAAAGTCTAGGGCAACACTTACCTCCCTTCTCCCCTTTTGACATACTTGTACCAGGCCCCCTTTAGCCTTCTCTTGAGAAATCAGCCATCTTCATTATAGGACCATTATTCAAACCTCGTCCCATGGACCTTCTGGACACTCTTTAGACATGGTTCTCCATGTCTCCCCCCGACATTTTTTTGACTCTGCAACTGAGAAAATTGTCCCCGAGCTCCATAATACAGAGCTTCATCCAGCAGATATCTGCCTCACACCCAGTGTGTGGCCCATTCAGACCTTGCAGAATCTTTTCTATCATCCATCCTTGGAACCACCTCCTCTCCACCCTGGATCTCTACTTTAACTCAGTCCTCAGAACCAAATAGCTTTAGGCAGAGCTCTAAACTTAATGCAACAAATGTTTCTAAGCACCTACTATGTGTTAGACACAGCACGTGTTTTATTTCATTTAATCGTCACAACAATTCTCTGAGGTCGGTGTAACTATCCTTTACAGATGAAGAAACTGAGGTTGAGAGAGGTAGAGTGATTTGCAGAGGTGTGTCTCATTCCATGTCCTCACGGAGTTTGGGGGTTGGGGGGTGGCCAAGGGAGAAAAAGATCCTGTCCTCTCTGGAGATCCCTGTGACTTGCTGAGTCACTTGCTCCTATTCCACCTGTCCCTGCCAATCTCCCAGAAGAAGAATGACACTGGAGAGGCAGAGTGGAGTGACCGCAGAGGCAGAGAGGTGGGCGGGCTGGCCCATGGATGAGACTTCGCTCCCGAAGCTGGGGGGAGATGCTGAAGCCACGCCTTGCCCCAGCATCCTGGAGCTGGAGGAGCTCTTGAGGGCAGGGAGGGGCTCTTGCAACCGCGTGGACGAAGTTTGGCCCAACCTTTTCATAGGAGATGCGTGAGTGGTAGCTGGCAGAGGGGTGTGAGGTGGGGACAAGGAGAAGCAGTTCGTGGGCTCTTTACCAGACATGGGAGGTGGGTGTGAACAAGGAGAAATAGTTGTGCGTTGAGCATCCCAAGCCAGGGATTTTCTCCAGAACCCCCACTTGCCAGGGATAGTGCATTGACCATGCATGGCCACGAGGGGGAGCAGGGACTTTGCCCGCCTGAAAGGTCCCCGGAGTCTTCAGGCACATCCAGGACCACTGGCAAATCTGGGGGGGTGGGGTGGGGGAGCAGAGGAATGGAGAATGGTATTTGGAATATGAGATGAGACGGGGTAGACAGAGACCCCCCTCCTTTTCTGGCTCCAGCCTCCCTCCTCTGGATACAGAGTGGGTGGAGAAGCCTGACTAAAGGTGAATCAGCAAAGGTGTCACCTCTAAACATTTGCAGATTAGAAGTAGGTATGAGATGGTGGCCAGGAGAGGCCGGATGTGTGTGGGAGGGCATGGGGAAGTAAGGGAGGGTCATCTGGGTCCCAGGGCTGAAGCGTCCCTCCCTTCCCATCCCGGCTGAGGCAGGGGCAGGTGCCTGAGGAAGCAAAGAGTGTCTAAGATAGCCTCTTGCACCACCAGCTCTCCTATTAGAAAGCTCTGGCAGTGGAGCTGTGGGCTCCAGACCCC